TATATGTTAGCTCTATCTCTGATATTGAGCGCTTTTAATAAATAAATGCATATAATATATAAATAATTATACATATATATATATTTATTTATATTTATATACACTTTTCACACACACACACACACACACACACACACACACACACATATATATATATATATATATATATATATATATATATATATATGAGTTTGCATAAGATATAAAATTTTACAGGCAAACCAACCTTCTCTTTTCTACCTTTTCGCCGCTACCTATCTGGTATCGTGAGGGAATGAGTTACTTTTCGTCCTAGCTTCCCAAAACACATTCATATATACACGTACTCCTGGTAATTAGGTGGAATAGACAGATCAAGTGAAATAGACACACACACACACATACACACACACACACACATATGAAAATTTCTCGGACATTTTGGCCGGTAAATGTCATTAATACTGTTTATTATAATCAGAGCATTTACTTAACGATTTGTATCAATAAAAAGAGCGTATAAACATAAAAAATGTCTTAAAATAATTGTCGGATTTTTGTCTATTTATATATATATATATATATATATATATATATATATATATATATATATATATATATATCCTTCCTATTTTCTATATATTTTCACATATATATATATATATATATATATATATATTAGATGCTGGTAATATATCAATACCTATAGCGATAAACCGATAGCTTTGGTGACACTTAGAAATATTCAAATATCGTAACTATAAAGCATCCTGACTATTCATTTTTATTGTTTGAAACATGACAATAATGTCCCAATAGTAGAAACTCTTGAAAACGCTCATTGATGGAGGCAAATTATCCATCGATCGACCAGAGGAATTCTAAAATCTAGCTGGTCATGGAGTTGATATTTCTTAAAAATGACTTCAAATTGGTATAGTCGTCAATTTAAACGGTAAAGCGGAGGCGGAAACAAAAGGCATTTTCGTAACAATTTCGTGATGGCAGTTGTGGTATTGGCGAAGTTTCTCCTGTAAGAGAATAAGCAGGTATTAAAAGTTCTTATTGATGGTCCTGATTTCGCATCAGTTGGTAAAGACAGGTATGACGTCAAGAGCCTTGGTTGTGTAAGTTTATCGTTAAAAAGACACAAGACTAAATATCTCACGCAGAATGTATAACAGTGCAGGTTCCTTCAATAACATCCTGCCATTTTTTACTCTTTACATATAATCCATTTTATATATATAATCCTGCCATCCTGTTTATCACACGTCCGCATATCCTAAGCCCAGCTGGGTCGATAACCTATTTATATTTCGAGGAAACGAATATGAACCTGGCGTCTATGAAGAGATTCCAGGTCAACTCTCTGATGCACCTGACTTCTCTGATGCAATATACTTTATAAATTCTAAATTCTAAATTAGTCCATAACTTACATTCGTTATTTCTATGCTTAATACTTTGCTTAATTTCTGAAAGGCATCTTTAATTATTTCCGAGGCATACGTTATTTTGTCTGTTATGACACTACACAGAAAGTTAAAATTCGTCCATTCTTTGATTATTGCGGCTATATTTTGGTGCTCCAGCTATATATTTAGAGATACTTGATAAAATATAAAGAAGAATCTGCTATATTACTAGTCCTGACCTGGTATCTCGGCTTCAATCAGTTTCCCAGCGCAGTAAGGTAGCTTCCCTGTGGTTTTTCTATAAATATTTTCATGGTAATTGTTCTGATGAAATTTCCTCTATGGTACTTAGGCTAGTGCAGTACGAGATTGGCGAGTTCGAATTCCAGTCGAATCTATTACATTCACTTACGTACTAATACCCTTGGGAAAGGTATGAATCCTCTTCTTCTCCCCCAAGCCATGTGTAAATAGCAGGACAGACCGGATTCTATAGCAGTGGATGGCAACTGGTCTACCCCAGAAAGAAATGGCAACCTACTGCGGGGGACAAAAACATCTACCTCGTCAGTCATGTATCGAAAGATACATGATCGTCTAAGCATGTATCACGTATGGCACATAACTGACCGAACTGACTAAATTGGCAGTAAGATCCGATATCTTTAAAGTTGAGATGTAAACGTAAAGTCGATGCTAACAGTTTTTTCAATCGCACTTCTCTTGTCTGGCTTGTTGCTTACCTGTTAACTTAGATCTTCAAAAAATTCAGTGTAATGTCAATCGTTATCTACAGTCTTCTTAATTCATATTCGTTTATTATCCTCTCTCCTTAACACATTTTTCTCATATTCTCTAACACTCAGTAACATCTTGCGTCTTAGTGACTTTATTGCCTTGCTTGGGGGTGAAAAGATTAAAAAGCTTTTCGTACCGGCTTCTTTTTGCCGTCCCCAGTTCATAACTCACAACTTGGGTTGGTTCTGTTCCTACTGTGAAATGAAAAGTATTGTGGAAAGAGATAAAAACTTTTGCTGTCTTTTCGTACATGCACGTGCATTCCTTTCTCTCTGTGTGTGTGTGTGTGTGTGTGTGTGCGTGCGCGCGCACGCTACAACTGTAAAAACCCTCTTCTTCTAGATATTTACTCTATTCAGCTGGTTTTGCCGATTTAAACATATGTGGGGTTCCCTTATCTTTTTTCTTGTCAGTATTAATTAGCTTTACACTTTTTGCAAGATGCTGTTATTCCATGGTTAATTTTCGTATTTCCTTTGATTTCAGCCAGAGTTCAAATGATAGGCTGTAAAATCGTAGGTTTTCGATCGGCGGGTTTAGCTATGCCTTAAATGTTTAACAGATTGGCAATGAGCTACGACAGAAATTACAATTATGATAGAACTTACTAGAGATAGGCTGCAAGAATAGCTTAACGTCATATTTTTGTATGTCGTCTGAATTTTTCCGTATATATATTTTTTTAATACACAAAGATTTAGTCACTGAAGAAGTTTCTATTTTCATGTAAACCGAGAAGAAAGCACCATTCAATGAGTTTTACATCCTCGTTTCTTCTGTATAAATTGAAGAACATTGGGATATTTTTGTCGTGTTTACAATTCGATATGCCGCAGCTGTCAATATTTGAAGAAACAGCGTTTGCTACTCCGCCATATTTAATTTTTTTTTTAATATTCGTATTCATTTACTTACTGTTTTCTTTCTGTTTTTAATGCCTTTATTTGCCCGGTGTGATTTAAATCTCCATTCCGCCTCAGAATCACTGAAAAGATTCTTTTTAACTGTTTGACAATTCAGTCAAGAATATTGACAATATTTTCGTGAAACATATCAGCGTGTAATCACTTCTATCAGAAAATGGTTGCTTCGTCATTGCATTTGCTTGTTATGATTCTGACGTAAAAGGTTAAGCGATTAACTCTATGTAACGAGTTCAATCCTGACTTGGCAGCATGCTTATCTCAGAGATGATATTTGATTTAACAACAGGTTAACGTATTCACATCATTTTTAATATCTGCAAATAGCGAGAGTTAACAGGCTGTCCTATTTAAGAGGTCAACCCGAATAAATACAGTCAGCATTACGTAGACAGTCACTCTGTCTCTTTCCCTGTCTCTTTCTCTCTCACACACATACATATATATATACATACATACACACATATATATGGATCACATTATGAAATGGACAAAGTGCGACAATTATTTTAAGACATTTTTATGTTTATACATTCTTTTTTATAGATACAAATATTTAAGTAAATTCTCTGTTTATAATAAACAGTATTAATAACATTTACCGGTTTGAATTTCCGAGATATTTTCATAGAAAAAATTCGTTCTCCGAGAGGAATCGAACCTGTATCCTACACGGAACCGTCATTTAGCCTGACGTGCCTTAACCGATCGAGCCACGGAGAATCGTTCAATTGTCATGGTCGATTTCACTGCCTTTAAAGAGATTCATGGAAGATTAAAGTTTAAAGGGACTAAAATCGATCTTACCAATCGAAGATTCTGCGTGGCTCGATATATATATATATATATATATATATATATATATATATGTGTGTGTGTGTGTGTGTGTGTGTGTGTGTGTGTGTGTGTGTGTAGAGAGAGAGAGATATATATTCGACGGTGAATGCATACTGAAAGGATTTATATATATATATGTATAAAATATATATATATGTGTGTGTGTGTGTGTGTGTGTGTGTGTGTGTGTGATTACAAATCCCTTCGAGTATTCATCAATTTAAATTGATATATTCGGAGATGAATGCATATTTGAGGATATACACACACACACACACACACACACACACACACACACACACACATATATATATATATATATATATATATATATATATATATATATATATATATATGTCTTTCCCTCCCTCTTATTCTAACATTAGATTGTCTATGGTGTTTGTATGTCACCACCACGAAATGTATCTTTATGCATTAGACATCCGTCAACATTCATTTTTTTTCTCTTAATTAAACCCCTTCCACCCACCTCTCCTAAAATTCTCTCTGTTAAGGTTTAATCCTCCTCCTCCTCATACTTACTCTCTCTAAATTCTGTTTTTATTTCCGGAGTTGTTTTTTCTGTTTTCTTTTGAATTTGTAGGTCTGATGAATTGGATCGTATTTACGATTCCAATGGAATAAATTATGACCATGGAATATTAATGTTTAAGCCTTTTTTTATTATATCCTTACTCTGTCCTAGACATTGAGTTCTACCTGGATTCTTCCTCTTGGAATTTTTATTCAAAAATATATATGTATGGGTATTTATATATTTTGCATATGTATGTATATTTACCACTAATATTATCTATTTCTATATTTATATATATATATATATATATATATATATATATATATATATATATAAATCTCGTTGAATATATATATATATATATATATATATATATATATATATTTATCCCATCGAGTATGCATTCATCTCCGAAAATATCAATCTACAGGAATATGTTCATATTACTCTAAGAATATAATCAAACAACCAAACACGTGTGTGTATGTGTAAGCAACTGAATTGAACTTAGATAAGAACAGACTGAAAGTGATAGATAGATAGATAGATAGATAGATAGATAGATAGATAGATAGATAGATAGATAGTGAAGAGACTGCAACAGAGAAACAGAGAGATGGATGGATGGATAGATATAGAGAGAGATAATGAAGTGACTGCAATAGATAGATAGATAGATAGATAGATAGATAGATAGATAGATAGATAGATAGATATGTACGTACAAGAAGAAATAACCAGATAGATAGATCTCTTTGAAGGGAATGAGAGTGACATCCCGAGATAAATAAATATAAGCAAAGATCAATTGTTTCCATTTGATTGATTCTTGATATTTTCTGTACACGTTAAGATTTTTTTTTCGTTTTTGCAATAAGCGAAAGATTTTCGAATATTTTTCTCTTTGTATTTTCCCTCTTTTTTTTTCTCGTCTTTCTTGGCCATTTGTTCAAATGCAGCGATCAAAAATAGAATCGATATTTTTTTTCTGTTCGCATTTAAATTTAGAAGCGCAATCGTAACAAATTCTGTCTACGAAGAATTAAACCCCATAAATGAGGAAGAAAATTGATTTGACAATTTCTATAAATTTTAACGACGAAAATAGTGAAAGCTACTTTCCGGGAATAAAGTTTTTGTCACTGCTAATATTAGTAGCGAACATTGCAAAAGTTTTAAAAGGCCTTAAAAACTGTAAACAAAAGCAGTTCTGAATGTGAATTATAAAAAAGAAACTGGATTTTTTTTCCATTTCCTCATGGCATCCATTTTAATCAATTCTTGCTAATGCAACTAACAATGCAAAAACGACGCCATTTCTGATATTGACTAAGCTTATCCTAGTGTGATACAAACATGACTAAAGATTGTTCTACGCCAATCTTTCAAGTAAAATCAGAATTGAAATATCATAAATTTTATCTTGGTACAAACATAATTTTCTGTCATGAAGAGAAAACACGCTAATGACAATTTTTTATCCTATCTTAATAGTAGATCAGTTCGGTTTCAATAAGATCAAATTGGTAGCTGATATCAAAAGTGATCTAAAATCTCTAGTTAACTGGAATGGCTTGTTGATTTTTAAGGCCTCCAAAAGAAAACTGTTTTCTATTAATTATCTGAGATAATCTTTTCTGCTATCTGTCGGCATGGCTAACGATAGCCTCCAGGAAAGCCTTCTCTGCTGACATGAAGTGGACAGATTATATTCAGTCAACTGTTACGAAATTTGGTTCACTGTGTCGTGCTAAACAAATGTTCTCTCCAGAATCTATCTTACGTATTTATAGGTCTCCCATTCAAGATTCGAATAATGCTGCTATTTATGGTCTAGTGCTCCTGCTAAATATTTAGAGATTCTTGATATAAAGCCATCGAAGAATCTACAATATTATTGGCCACGACCCGGTATCACCAGATTCAATTAAGGTCAAATCATTTTATCAATTTTGAATTGGCAAGATATAACCGTAAGTTCTATGTGAATAGTTTCTTTTCTCGAACTTCGCCAATGGAACGCTTTTCCGGTTTCTTGCTTTTCTGGCTAACTTTGGCATTCAAAAAGTCAAATGCAATTCCAATCGTTATCCACTGTCTTCTTGATTCCTTCTCTTTTATTTTTCTCGCTCCTTAATGTGGTTTCTCTTTTTCTCATTCTTTCACACTCGCTAACCCCTTGTCTTAGTGGCTTTATTGCCTTTCTTGGGGTTAAATGATTAAAATCTAATTCAACCACAAGGCATTTTCAAGAAATATGTTTCATTTTTGCTTATTCTTTCTCAGTGCATATTTAGTTTTACCTAGTACGGCACAAGGTCATTTCAAAGTGGGAAGATTATATTGCATCAATCCACCAGGCGGAAGTACCTTCTTCATCTAGTATTTTCCTTCAGGACGTTAGAAAATATGGCTCTCCACAATTTCCTGTTCTTTGAAGCTCTTACTAAATGCACTCTTTATGATATCTCTCCTAAACCTTGTTCTGACATTCATTTACACAAAATCTCGTTAGGTAGGTTGTTATCCATTGTTTTTCTTCTGTTCCTCTTCTCTTCATTATCTCTTTGTGTTAACTCTCCTAAACATAGTTCCACAATTATTCTACTAAAGCTTACTGGGTAGGTTAAACGTGTTTTTTTTTTATTTACTCTGTAACTAATACCTTTAGTCTGCCCTGTGAGTATAAAATTTTCCAAGCCTTTTTTCCTCATTATGTACCTTAGAAATTTCAACTAACTCTTTTTGATTCTAAGTAATCTTGTTGTTCCCATTTTCTATAATACTTCGTCGTACCTCGCGGACTCAGTCATGGATTCAGTCCATGACTTTCACAGCATCCTTCTGTAGAATCCTATTTCTGATGCTTTAAGTCTGTTCTTCATTTGTGAGGAAAATGAGCTCCCGATTTAAAAAAAAAAAATACCTTTGCTCGGAATCGAACCCCTATCTCTGGCATTTGTGGAAAGAATGTAACTATACAACGCAGGCATACCATCAGGTTTCCTTCATTAATGACTAAACACAAAACACCCAGTGAGAAACGCGCTCGCAGTTTAAGGGATTCTAATTTATTTTAAAATGACAGCCGACATAGATGGTTACGCACCTCGTCTCAAAGACGGCTTACCTACTTAATATCGCTATCACTACAATCACCCCAATTACTCCCGTGTCAGTATAAGACATTGAATTTGTATAGATGTGCAGAGATATGGAAATCAGCCCAATTTATTTTATACGGCTTCGACATTTAATGGACTCATTGTAAGTTAGTGATCATTCTTCCTACACAACCTGGAAGGAAATAAACTACAGGGACACAAGTAGAATCCGTTATTTTAATAAGAGGTGACATTTAATAAATATACACTCGTTGAAAATGTCTTATCATACTATAAACCGTGAATGAAATGATAACGGTTTTGCTTAGCAGCCTCCATACTGAGAATATTCAGCAGTCAGTAACGGAATAGTTACCGTTTCTGCTGAGTGAAATTCTTAAAATGTCTTCCTTAAAACGTTATTTTTTCTCGAGAAATTAGCTTACTTGTTGTCTTTATTACTTTATACATAAGAATAAACTTATAGAAACAAAAAAATAAGACAAAGTTTCCGCTAACTTGCAATATGACCGACTCCCGAAGGATCCAAGTTGCAAAGAGACGTACAAAAACAGAATTATAAACGAGAAAAACCTGAACGAGATTACAGCATCAAAGTGAAATATGCTGATTGGAAACACTGGTGACGTCGGAGAATGAGATTATCCCAAAGAAAATTAAACAACAAAGGAATGAATGGATGACAGAAGAAAATCTAGCGACGATGAAAAAGTGACAACAAACAATGCTGAGGAATGGAAAAGAACATAGAAATTAAAAATCAATGTAGGCAGGATAAAGAGTAATAGGTCACTGAAAAGTGTACATAATTAGAGAGAATGAAAAACACACAATAATTATGCACAACAGAATAAAAGAATTAAAAGGTGTGTCAAACAAGAGGCTTTATAAAATCAAAGGAAGAATCACTGATAACGGAAAAAGAACAAAAATACTGCAAATGTGGAGCAAATACGCCAAAGAAATATTTCAGGCTGCGAGAGAGAAACACAGACTGGAAAATACAGCAGGACGAGAAATACTAAAAGATAGAGTATGAGGAACACTGGAGAAGATGATCAGGAATAAAGCGGCAGGATTTGATGGGATTATCGCAAAAAGGCTCCCAGCCTTAGACGATTTCATAATCGACAAGATCACAGAAGGAATAAACGAAATATACAACAATGGCCACATACCGGAAGACTTTACTAAATCCAGGTGTAGATGAATTCGAACTACATCAGACAATCAGTTTAATGAGCCACATAAACAACTAATGATGCGAATCCTGATTAAAAGAGCGGGAAGGAGAATTAGACCGGAAATAGAATAGGAACAGTGTGGCTTTGTCGAAGACACTGAAACATACATACTGAAACTATAATTATTTAGCAAACATCATTTTTACTAGGAGTGAAAACTTGTTTCTTAAAAGAAATGAGATTAATCATAGCAATTTGTTTGTGTTTTATTTTTATTTATTATTTTTTTTTGACAATATATGCAATTTCCTCAATTTTACTATACAATGCATTGATTGTCATTTTGCCATAAAATGTATTGTTGATCAATTTCCTATAAAAATGTGTTATTGGTCATTTTATTATAAAGCTTATTGCTGACCAATTTACTATAAAAACTGCATTGTTAGTCATTTTGCTATAAAATGTATTTCTGCTCATTTTATTATAATACGTACGAATTTAATTAGTCTGATGGTCACACTGTCGTCCACCTCAGAAATCCTTTCAATATAATATGAGGAAATTCCCATTTTAAAGTTCACACTGAATTCACGATTCGATCGTGACTTCTCCGAGTGCTTCACCCAGTATATAGTTTGCTAAAAGCATAAAGTTCAAATAATATATACGTAAAATGTTATGTGATGAAAAGAATATTCACTCTTATTGTAGAACCTAGAAATCCTATTTTTTATTTCCTTTTAATTTTTTTTTTAAATGCTTTCAATCATCTAAAATATAAATAAAGCAAATACAATGAGTAAGATAATAAATATACCTCCTGGATTAAAAATTAAATGATAGCAGATTCGTTCTTACGGAAGAGTTTATTAGACACAAAAATAGATTAATTACAAAATTAATAATAAAATGGATCAATATACTAGAAGATAAATTATGAGACGAATAGAAGGTTCGTTCTTACCGTAGAACTTTAGACACAATAAGCGATTAACAACAGTAAGTAATAATAAAATAGAACAATAATTAATAACAATATATTGTAAACAATATTATGTGTCAGTTCATTTGGTCTTAGCGGAACCAGTGATAATTACTGGCAAACCTTATACTTTTCTTGCACTGAACAAATCTTGTATTAGTGTCGGTGAAATGCCATTATATAAACTGGAATAAAACAATAGAAATTTATGTTTTTATTTTATTTATTTATTTTTTATAGCGTTTTATGGTTTTATGCTCACTCTAGTTTTTAGTGGTTATTTTTTACCAATAAAAATGTGACTTTGACTTTTCTTCTTCAACCAGTTCACCCTGAAGATCCGTTAGGTGCAACCTTGGTAGGTAGTTTCTCATTTACTAGGATTTCACACACACACACACACATATATATATATATATATATATATATATATATATATATATATATATATATATAT